GTCGATGACGTGTATACACGTCATGGTGCAGGTGGGCTCAAACTGTCGATAACTTGTATAGACGCAAGCAGATTTTTGGCTACAAAAACACACAGATTTGTCCACAAATTTATACTCGGGGGTTTTCAGGGTCGCTGATTACGAATCTGATATCAGATTTTGAAAATTCAAAATGGCGGATCCAATATGGTAGACATTTTAACCCTCCTGCGCATAAAGCCGAGTATACTCGTCCAAACTAAACCGTTACCGTATGCATGAGGACGAGTATACTCGTCCAAACATATTTGTTAATAACTTTTGTTTAAATAAATATTAAGACATCGGACAAGTTGCAAATTTCTTTCAATGAACAAACGAAGCTATTTGAATTATTTAGCACACTATATATTATTTATTTAACAATAAATATTGCATATAAAAAGTTTAAACAAATTGAAAAATTTCTGTTTTATAAATTAATGTTTGTTTATCGGATTTTCCAAACATTGTCCATCAAAGGGTTTTTGGGTGCGCTGATTACGAATTCAACCTTAAAATTAAAAAATTAAAAATGGCGAATCCAATATGTCGGACAATTATATTTTTTAAAAGTGGACTTTTAAAAAAATTTATAGAATTTTACCAAAACTTATTATCAAAGGGTTTTAGAGGTCGCTGCTTACAAACATGAAGTCAAAATGACAAATTTCAAAATGGCGGATCCAATATGGCTGATGACAATTTTGAAAAAGTTTTCTAATCGTCCCGTCTATTGCTATCTAGGTGTTTTTGAGGTCGATAATTACGAATCTAAAGTCAAAAATTCAAAATTCAAAAAATCCAAAATGGCGGACCCAATATGGCGGACGACAATTTTTAAAAAGTTTTGTAATCGTCCCGTCTATCTCTATCTAGGGGTTTTTGAGGTCGCTGATTACGAATCCGAGGTCAGAATTCCAAAATTGAAAATGGCGAATCAAATATGGCGGATAATAATTAAAAAAAATTAATCCGACCCTCTATCGCTATCTAGGGGTTTTCGGGGTCACTGATTACGAATCCGATATCAGATTTTGAAAATTTAAAATGGTGGTTCCAATATGGCTGACAACATCTCCTAAAATTCATCGGATTCACTTGAAACTTGTTACTCAGGAGTTTTCGAGGTCGCTGACTACGAATCCAATATCAGATTTTGAAAATTCAAAATGTCGGATCTAATATGGCGAACATGAAAATTAAAAATCGACTGAATTGACTTGAAACTTGTTACTCAGGGGTTTTTGGGGTTGCTGATTACGAATCCGGTATCAGATTTTGAAAATTAAAAATGGTGGTTCCAATATGGCTGACAACATTTCCAAAAATTCATCGGATTCACTTGAAACTTTTTACTCGGGGGTTTTCAGGGTCGCTGATTACGAAACCGATTGCAGATTTTGAAAATTCAAAATGGCGGATCCAATATAGAGGACGAAATTTGCTAAAATTTATCGGATTTACTTAAAACTTTTTACTCGGGGGTTTTGGAAGTCGCTGATTACGAATCCGATTTCAGATTTTGAAAATGCATAATAGCGGATTCAATATTCAAGTGAATCCGATGAATTTTTTAATCAATTATAAAAATTAACTAAATTCAGAACAAATTGAATTAATTAAATTTTTCAAAAATTTAAGTTTCTTAAATTTTTTAATTAAATTTATTCAAAATTCAATTATTTTTAATAATTGAATAATTAATGAAATATATATTGTAAAAAATTCAACTAATTTCAAAAGAATTATAATAAAAAATTTTCAAAATATTAAGTTCTACATAATTTTTCAATAGAAAAAAAAATTAAAAATTCAGATTTTCAAAGATGTTAATTTGAAACCTTTTCGAAATTCAATTATTTCTAAAAATTGACACTATAATGCTTAAAATATTCAATTTTTATATAAAATTTTAACTGAAATTCATTTTAAGATCAATTTTATTAGAAAATTCTACGAGAATTTAATTATTTGAATACAAAAATAAATAATTTATTGAATAATCGAATGTTTCTTAAAATTGTACAAAAATTAATTGAAATTTTGCGTATTTATGAAAGTAATAATGGAATTATTGCGAAGAAATTTGTAAATAATTGAATTCCTGTGAAATTTTTATTATTTTTGAAAATAATTAAATGTTTGGGTAGAATTTTATTAAATTTTTTTTTTTTGAATTATTGCATTCTTTTGGAAAACTTTATTAAATAGTAGATATTTGAAATTTTGACGTTAATTTTTATAAATTTCTGAAAATAATTGAATTTTGAAGAAGAATTTTATTACTTTGGAAAATAATTAAATTTCTGCAATCATTTGTAACTATAATTTTAAAACTAAAAATTGGTCCCTATGCACAAAAAATTTGTGCGAAGATGTCGACCAGCGGTGCGTTACTAATTCGAATTTAAAAGCGCAGGAGACCAAAAAAAAACTCCAAAATTAAAAAGAGGTTAACAAAAAAATGAAGTTTTTTTGGTTCAAGTAAAAATTACGTACTGAATCATGCCCACCGTCAAGGAATGTCAAAAGACAAGTGCCTCACATGAAACCCTGTATCGCCACTATATTTAATTGTTTTGAAGACATACATATATATTTTTAAATAAATGTAATTTAATTTGATAAAATATTGAAAGTTCCAACCCTGATAGTTTTTTCAAAAAATATTTCTTCCCAAATGTATCTTATATTCATGCAGTCAGGGTGGTCTAACCCCTTAAAACTGGTCGTTTACATATTTTTAAGAAAATAGTTATTAAAAAACAGAAATTCGAAAATAACTATTAAGCTCTATATGTTTTAGATATCGTTAGTAATCTTTTTCCAGTGTTGATTTATTACTTATCTTATTATTTAATCAAAAAACCCCGGTTCACCTTATGTATCATGTACGGTGTATATGATTGCGCAAGTTGCAGGTGTTGTTACATACGGATGCCAAGATTACTATTCCTCCTGTTTGAATTAAAAAAGAAACTAATGTTTAATTTAGTAAAATGAATATTTAAAAGATAACTAGATATGAAATGAGTTATACGCATTTAATTACTTCCATGCTGATTAAAACTTTTTTCTATATACATGTTTATTAAAATCCTCTTTTTTAAACTATTCAATAAAAATTTTTCTCTTCAATTAAATTCAATGAATTAAAATTGAATTTAAAAAAAAATGGTGTATAATTTATTTCCAAATGTAATTATGGAATGGAATTATGATGTTTTCATTATTATGCTCTACATAGGTTTAAATAATTTTTGCGAATAAATAGATGTTTAACAGGATCATATTATTAGACAATAGAGGATAATTGTTTCTAATAGGGAGTTAAGTAAGCAGACGAGAGTAGTTAAAGTCGCATATTGTTAATGAATAAGTCTGATTCTTTAAAGTCCTTCGAACTGATATTATCTCCAAGGTCTACTGGTCACTCGCCTGTGTTAAATGTTTTGAAACTAGATGATACCTTTTATTTTTATCTTCTGTTTTTTTAAATTTTATTATTGTTATTTAATTCATTTAACTAGGATCAATGTGACACGAGGTGACGGTTTTTAATATCTTATAATTTTCCTAAATGTTTAACTCCTTTTCTCAATTCGTCATAAAATCTAATTTTGGCGGATGTAACAAAAATAGATCACTGTTTTATCTTTCTTGAAAATAACACGACATTAAAATTAAAATTTGATTGAGGATTTTTATTATTTTTGTCGGTGGAGTATTTTTATGTTGAGATCTATGCACATCCATGTTTATTTTTTGTGACTTTACTTGTTGTTTTCATTTATTTATTGTAAACTTGTGATTACATTTTCTAACCTCACTTTGGACACTACATCTTTAACAAGGTTTTTCAAATTATATCTTATATGTAAACTTCCTTATCATCCGAGCTGTGCAATGCAGATCTCTACTTTGCCCGACGGGTCAGTTGCTAGCCAAGGTCACTGTACCCATCAGCTGATTTTCAGTTCTCACAGTCTTCTGTTAATTTGGAGTTTATTATGGGCGCCATGAAACAAATTAACTCAAATTGTTGTCTTCAAAAATTTAACAACAATGTTGGAGAATTTTATGGACGTAAAAAAAAATAACCAAAAAGGAAAACTTGTTCATTCGAGACACGACTCTTGTCAAACAGAAAAAAATAAACTTACTAAATTTATTTAATTCCACATCAAATCCTTTATACTTACTCAACAATAAGCACAACAATAATGAAAGAAACAATATAGTCAATAACACAACTGTATTAATAAAACTTTAATTGCTCTTATACTTGTCGTGTAACAAAAGAAAAATTTCCAACTTAACAAAACTCTTACAACTCAAAACTCTCCCTTGTCAACTCTACAGCAACAACTCAACGTCTTCTCACAGCAACATCAAAAATCAAACTATATATAATTAGGGGCCGTCCATAAACTACGTTACCAATTTTTCAGACTTTTTAGACCCCCTTCTCCCCTCGTTACCATTGAGTTACATGGGGTCATTCACAAACTACGTCACGCTTTTTCGGACTGATTTTTACCCCCCCCCCTTTGTAAAATTTTTTACATACAAAAAATTGTTTTTCCACACTTTGTCACACACAGCTTGACACCCCCCACCCCACCCCTAAGAGTGTAACGTAGTTTATAAACGACCCCTATGTAATTTCTTTAATTTTTGGACCCCCTCCCCCCTAAATTGGTAACGTAGTTTATAGATGACCCCATTTTAAATAAACGTGTTTTTGTCGTCTGATACATTTTTCCGCGAAACGCCGAACCTACTGCGGTCAATTAAAGGGGAGTTTGCACCTTAAGTCAAAATTACTTTATCAGATAGAATAATTAAACAAATAAATATTACACTGTTAATAAAGTTAATTTAATTTAAAAATACTGACACTGGCATCGATGTGTTAAACATGATTCTATCTGATTTACAAAATACTTGATTTAATAAATTTGTTTTTAATTTTTCAGCTTCCGAGTGAGCCCAGACCATAGGCTAGCCAGTGAGCAGCATAATAACAGTACCTATCAAGCTGCTAGATTTGGCTAAATTTTTATAAAAAAAGACTAAGAATTCGGCTCGTGTTTTACAAAAAGTCAAATCTATAACGCACAGACATCGTAGGATGGTAGAAGGTGAACTTGACTCAAAGCATAATCATAGTAAGTTTTCATTTTTTTTTCTAAAACACTTTACACTAAATTTTAAGACAGTTTACATTAAGTCGTCCATTTGGGGTAGCAGTTTATCAACCTCCTATCATTTTGCATATTGTATATAATTATTCTTTGCAAGCATAAGTTTTATATATAGTTCTACAATAATTAAAAATAAAGAATCACTCCCAACATCTACTTGACTATTATTAGTTAAATTTCTAATTCTTCCTTTCTTTGATTATTGTTGTACTGTTTATGATGATATTACTGATGACTTAAATTACAAATTGGAAAGATCTTTGAATGCTTGTATCCGTTTTGTATTCAATTTACGAAAGGTAGAACATATTACTCCATATAGAATCAAGTGTGGACTATTAAATGTAACAATCAGACGGCAATCTGTTTTTAACGTTCCACCACATCGAACTTGTAAAATGCAAAGATCATTCGTTATTAGGGGCTCAAGATTATGGAACAAACTTCCTACTGGGTCCAGGTAACACCCTCCCTAACACATTCTCTTTCCTGCTTACCGCCCCAAGTAAAATGAGGAGCTATTCTTTCACATGAAGCGATGCTGTAGAGTTGTTTCTTCGCCTCAGGAAACTTCCTGGGTTAAGAATCATCTTCGCAGAGACTTAATTATTTCGGTATATCAACTCTCCAAGAAAGTGCACATCCATAACCGCGTTTAATAACGATAATCGGGATGTAAATTCATGACTAACTTAGGGAACAATTAAATCTACTTTCGCTCGATACATATAACAATTCGATCTTCTATTATTGCGAAACGATATTAAACGATTACTAGCGAAACGGTTAACTACGAAATTCACTAGCGTCACTAGTTATTATTACAATTATTTACTCGATTAAGCTCCGATAGAGAACTAGCGAATGTAATTTTTATTTATTATTATTACTACGATTTATTTTGTTATTTTAATTGTTACTAAAATATACTTTCTTCCGAAGGTTTAATTAGTGACTACACCTTTACTCTGAATCATAGTATAATTCGGTCCATTAAATAAAAATTGTTTTGATAATTGGTTCATTGAAATTAACAATATGTTTTTCGAAGTCATACGTAACACGTATATGATAGGTTTCGGTTGATTTAATTTTAGTTTAGTTTCACTAACTCCGTAGATAATTCAAAAACAGTTCTTAACATTCCCTGAATATTATAATCCAGTAAAAATGGGGACATAGATTGTCTTTAGGTCGCTTTTAGGACGTCATAAAAACATCTCGCAGAAGACCTAATGACGTCTTTTGGAGATAAGGTGTCTTTAGGACGTCCCTTGAACGGACATGGGTACCCCAAGTCTCCATGCCCACTGGGTATAATGCGAACATTATTAAAGTTAATATTTACTATAATTTTTCGTTCTTATTTACAGAGTGTGATGTAAAAGACGATCGTCTTAACGGTGGCAGTTCCAAGGACTTAGAACTTGCACGTAAGTTTAAGTTTAATTAAATTTCGTAAACAATTACATTTTAATGTATACTTATTATTGTTTCATTTTTAAGATATTGGGTCCAAGGGAAAGACCCTCGACCCCGAAAAAGGATCTTACATTAAAGCTGACTTTGAGAAAGCTATCGAACTAACTGGTAAGTTTTAATAAATAATTCAATTTCTTATTTTAACACAAATATGTAAGTAGTCCTTTAGACGAGAAGTGATCAGTCTTAATTGTAACACAAATTTGTTTGTTTGTTTGTTTTGGGTTGTGACAAACAGTTGAAGTTTGGTTCATGATATTTTGTAAACTATTTATAAATCTCTAATCAATACTTGCTGGTAGGTTTTTCGGTTTAATTACTGATGTCATTCGAAGAGCTCTTGAAACTTATTTGAATAAACTCAATTGAGGCACAACTTTTGAAATACTCGTACAAAAAATAGGTGATGGTAGTAATAGTCTTTTTGAAGTGTCACCAATCATACATTCTGTTACAATTTGAGTCTATAAGTAATGGACATGCTGGAGAGTATTTTGGTAATAAGTTTAGATGCTCTTGTTTGAATACCATTGTAATAGGAGATCACAAATTTTATGATGCAAGTAAGCGCTAAAGGTTGCCTTCCAAATTATTAGATGTGTTCATCTTGAATTCAAAGAAACAGTTTACTTTTACGAATTGGTTGCAGGTGTATTACTAGGCATGATAAATGCAAGTTTAGCTTTTGCGAATTAGGGTAATTCTTCCTGTTAAATTTGTCAAAATCAAAAGTAGAAATTGGTAAAATTGTAGATGCTATCGCTATAAAATAATCGCAGCTAGTAGGAATCGTCTCTGGATGAAATCATATCTTCAAAAAAAACCGAAAAGAATAATTCTGAGTTCTTACTGTAGACTAGAACTGTTAACTAGAACTTACTTGTTCTAAGCCATACAGAAGGATTTGCGGAAGTGGTTTACGTTAATTTCCGGAAATTCTTCCACAAGAGAATATAGTTTTCTTGATAACAAATGACAATGTAACTTTTGGGTTGTGTAAAAACAATCAAGTAAGTGTTTGTTTAAATAAAGTATCATGTTGAAGAATCTAACAATCAGTTTTTTATGATCTACAAAGTTAATATATGTTTTAAATCGTTTTTACAAATATTTTAAATCGTTCTGCTACAGTATCTAATTATTTATATTATATACAAAAAAACATATTTTACAATATTAATAAAATATTAAAAATTAACAAATAATTTCTTTTTTAATAATGCAGAGTCATAAGCGAAAAGTTTCAAAAGATTTTTATTCTTTATAAGTGTTCATATGGCCCATATCGTCGTTAAATATAAAATAATATTAAGAAAATGTCAAGTAAATTAACAGAATATTGATTTATAATATTAATATCAACAGAAAAGTTGATACCGTCATCAACTTAATGAATTAATTGACGTATGGACGATAACACCACTTATAAGATTAAGAACCATTTTGAATTTTTTGTTTCAGGTTTTGCAAGCCATTTGATTATTTTGCATGGTGGAATTGTCAGCGCTATCAAGCTTATAAGTAGAATATTTGGGCCAACTACTCCATTATTTGGAAGAGTTCTCTAAGAATCGTTCACTTTCTTAATATTGTTTTTGAAACTAACTTGCATTCATCAACTGATGCAAATTAATTGTGTAAAGTTACATAAAAGTGTTTTACCATTACTTTGTTTTGAATTTATTTCCATGTAACACCAATTAAAATCTCTAGAATATGGATATTTAGCAAAGGTTTAAAATCGTGTATGGGGCACGTACAATACTTCTTTATTATATGATTTTGTCCTTGCCTATAATGTAGTTAATTGTTCCCGATCCTTTTTCTTGTATTTCAAGTAATTTATCGTCATCTGCTAAATATACATATCCTTTTTGCGGCGAATCAAATTTTTCGAAAAAAAAATCCCTATTATTCACCATGTTACATCTACAATCCAAGAATTCTCCATTCCTTTAATTGCTTTTACTCCAAAACTGGCTTCATGGACATCTTCAGAATCCTTGAATTTTAAACTTGCAACTGATATGAAGCAATGCGCATTTTCGTTATCCTGTCGGTCCTGTAACATCAGCAGTTCTGATTATCTTTAGTCTCCTGATGTTTTACTTTCATGTCAGTTTCTCGCGAATCTTCAGGACTGTATTTTATTGAATGTGCGACATCAGAGGAATGAAAACGCATTTGTGGTGAATGCAATATTGCATCATTGACGCATTTTGGACAGATTCAGTGTTGCTTACCTTAAGAAAAGGGAGAGGATTCATCAGCAGTAGGAAGCCAAACCCAGCTCTTAAGAGGAATTATAATTACCAGCAGCAGAAATTAACACATTAAATTATTATTCTCCTACTGTAAGCACTCCACGATCCAACCATCTCAAATCTCCCCTCATGTCAGCAGCTCAACTTCTGAATGAACTCTGTCGTTTTCGTCAGTCCGTTTAACTCCTCAATCTATCCTCATCCCCTCCAGTTTTTGTCACAAAATTATTTGGAAAGGAAGGAAGGGAAAACGGGGTGGAAGATATGATGCAAGAAAAAGAGAGAGCGAGAGATATGGAACGATAAGGAGAGAGAACAATACCTCAGGTAGAGAAATAGAAAATAAAGAGAAAATTTGTAAACAAACTAAACTTTAGGCAAATTATCATTGTACCCTTCAAGGCATTAATATCGTATTCGCAAATATAGTTGCACCTCCAACAAATAGCATTCCATCATTTTTTATCTAGTGTTCTATCAGTTTCCTTATCGACACGTCTCGATTCATCTTCATGGCACTGAAAATTACAGTATCAATAAATAGAGTTCTCTGAACCTCCAATTGGTCTTTCTGACAAATGCTTGGCCTTAGAAATCAAACAGTGGCTGACAACAAAAGGAACAACCAAAGGACAGACTATTAGGGGTTGCAATCAAGCTAAACCACTTATGGGAACCAATATAAACCTGAGGAGAAAAGTGGAATTTCGCAAACAGTTATCTGATCATGGGGATTTGAGGTATCATAAGCATAATTTAGGAATTATAAGAGATCTAAATTGACATCAGTGTGGAGTGAAAAACTTAACCTCGATACACGTTTTTCTGTCTTATGGGGGAGCGTGAATACATTATGGACTATTTCTTCTTTGGAGAGTCCATTATCGCTACTAGAAGCATAACTGAAATCCTTTCCTTGTCGAAGGGTTCGCGGATACAGGAATGTAATTTAGAGTACACAAAGGGGTTATCCAAGCATTAGTGGTCGCCATACCCCAACGATCAGAACTTATCTTCTTTATAATAATATACATAGACATTGGTGATTCATACCTGATTTATTCACAGAGCAGAAGGCTCTGATCTTAAGGGACAGGTGTACGAAAGAGGAATGAACTGGTATTTTCAAATTAGTAGATGACAATTTATTTGAATCCTTATACAACGGAGAGAGCAAACAGATCCAGATGTCTTATTTGAAACACTGGAATAAATTAAAATTCGTAAGGAAGACGATTACATAGATGAGATTATTTATAAGGCATTCGGTGAAGGACGCCTGGTTTGTAATATTTTATTTACCTGAAGACGTTTTCTTGACTAACTCGAAGAAGACACTTGATGACAGTACACAACTAGTTAACTTGAAGGTGTTTTCTGGAATGGCACGATGAAGACAGGTAGTTGATTCGATGCTGACTTCTGGACTGTCGAATTCGGCAAGGGTGTCACCTTTTATAGGTTTCTTTTGCAAGGGGATACTACGTAGTAATACCACCGACTTTTATTAATTTCGGAATCAGATTGTTATTATTGCTTTAATTTTTAACTCCTGTATCAGACACGTGAGGACCCAATAGAAGGGTGACGAAATACAGATGCATAATTGGTATATACATTATCAAGGTGAAGACTTTAAATCAATATTCCTTTAATTCCAGAAAAATAAGGATTCAATTTTTAACTTTACAAAATATTTTATAAATATAAAATACGTTGCGATGACGTGACACAATAGGTTTAAGGAAACTATCTGAAGGTGTCGAATAAACTATATTTGATGAGGGTAAACTATAAAACGACATTCTAAATTGTGCGACATACCATTGATGAATATCTGTCAATGGTATGTCGCACAATTTAGAATGTCGTTTTAATTCTCCTCTGACATTTTTTCAAGTAATTTTAATTAAAACAAAAAAATATATTTTTAAGTTGAAAAATGTATTAATATAACTTTTTTATTTTTTCATTGTAGAATATGGCAAGTTTCACTACTTCCTGCTCGCAGTATGCGGGTTCGTTAGTACGAGTGAAGAAATGGACGTGATTTCCATGTCCTTTATTCTACCGAGTGCACAATGTGACCTCAATCTTGACACTCAGGCGAAAGGATGGCTCAATTCAATAATATTCATAGGAATGATGGCAGGCGCCTATGCATGGGGCTCAGTAGCCGATGCATTAGGTCGTCGCAAAGTCCTTATTGCCATATCCTTTATGAATGCATTATGTATTGTTGCCTCCAGCTTCAGCCAGTCTTATGAACTATTTATGTTCTTTCGATTTCTTAATGGAGCTGCGTAAGTATTTTTCGTTTTTACACATTCCGTAGAACCTTTGTCAATTATTCTATCGATAGCTTTACAGAATAGTTGACTTAGATTTGAAGTAATTATTCAAAGTTTTATTTTATAATTTTAGTCTTGGCGGCAGTGGACCAGTTATCTGGTCATATTTCGCAGAGTTCCAGCCAAAAGCTAAAAGAGGTTCGATGCTTTCCTTTATGGCAGCATTTTGGACGCTGGGAAATCTTTTCGTTGCTGGTAATTTTTATATGTTTCAATACTGTTACAAAATGATTATGATAACTGTAATGAGATAACTTCCGTGCAGAGTTTAAAGTGTCTTAATATATTTTAGGATTAGCGTGGTTGATTATTCCCAACGATATTGGTTTCTCCGGATCAGCATTTAAGTATAACTCATGGCGTATCTTTTTGCTGATATGCGCCATTCCTTCTTTCATAGTGGCTGGACTTCTTCTGCTACTTCCAGAATCTCCTAAATATCTACTTTCCCGTGGAAGATACGAAGAAGCTTTAAACATTTTTCGTAGTATTTATTCAATCAACACTGGCAAAAGCCACGAAACTTACATGGTAATTTTATCTTAATTTAATCTTTTTAGTAACGATATACTTATTTTCTATTTGAATTTAATAACATTTTAATATCGATGCATATTTCAGGTAAAAGAACTGATTCTAGATGATTTGAAACAGAAAGAAGCAATCAAGACAGAGATTGTTGAAAAAAATAAGTACAAGATTATGTTAAGTGATATTATGAATAATAGTAAGCAGCTTTTTATCTCACCAATTCTTCGTTTTACTCTCATCTCGATTACGATAAATTTAACATTTCATATTGGATATTATGGATTAATGATGTGGTTTCCTGAATTATTTAATCGTTTCGATGAATATAGTAAAAAACACCCGAATCAGGATGCATCTATCTGCCAAGTAACCGATTATGTTGTTAATCATGGTTCATATAGTGATGAAAACTTTTGTTCAGACGCAATCGGACCATCGGTTTTCTTAGAGTCATTAATTACTGTTGCATCAGCCATTCCTGCAAACATCGTTGCCGTTCTTGGAATGGATCGTCTTGGTCGCAAATTTTTCTTAGGTAATTTTAAACATACTATTCTTTATCTATGGAGAAACCTTAAATCTTCATAATCCTTTATAGACTACTGGAACTCTATTTCAAAACTTATGAAAATTAATTTGTTTCAGTATTTAGTACCATGTCGTCAGGTTTGTGTTCTATTGGACTGTACTTTGTATACAACAAGTTCCAAAATTTAATAGTCTCAGCTGTATTCAGTGGTGTTATTAGTTGTGGTAATGCAGCTCTAGATTGTTTAATTACTGAAGTCTTTCCAACGAACCTACGAGCTACCGGTATTGCAATTTCAATGGTAGCTGCACGTCTTGGTGGTATCATCGGTAACATCGTCATAGCTCAGCTGCTAGATATGTATTGTCCAGCTCCCACTTTCATAGTTGCAGCTCTACTTATAGGTAAGTAATGTGAAATATTATTTTTAATAAATGATTATGAACTTATACGAAGCAATTATTGTTAAACTAATAAACATTCAACATTTTGTATAATAGTCTATAATTAAGATTGCTCAAAAGACGAAAGAAAAATTTAACAAGTCTTGTCTCAGTCGCGGTCTTATAAATATCTCGAGGTAATCGGAAAACATTCTGAACAAACAATAATACAAACAAAATACATAAAAATCCTTATAACTATTTACAGAAACACTCTATCAGTATCTTCCCTCACACAATACTTCACTCCATCTGCCTAAATACATTCTTTACCCATTCTTATCACTCTTCCAATTCACTTATTTCGTCTTCCAAGCACTGCAAAAAACTTTTAATTATTGCACATCTTCAGATAGATGAAGCTTAACCAAGATCTTTCTATCTTTATAAATTACTGAATTCTGAAAAGACAGCTACTGTGAAATCTTCATCATTAAATAACAAGTCGTTACTAGATGTGCTTTTAACAAATTGTTGTTTAACCATATAATTTAACTTTACCAATTATCCAACTCAGCACGGAAAAGTTGGCTACTATCTGACACAAGTGTTGTCAGGTCATGGATGTTTTCGATAGTACCTTCATAGGTTCAAGATTAAGAGAGAAGCAAAATGCGCCTACTGTGATGCTGTAGTTGATGACGCGGAGCATACTCAGTTGGCTTTGAAATAAACGTCGATAACATGGTGTCTACCAAGGTTCAAAACGTGGACTCCTGAAGGCATATTGAATCCTTCATTATTAAAATAATGGGGGCTTGAGTGGATTAGTGACAAGTTAAGGATCAGTTCAATGGGATTACCATTTGCGAAGTTCAAGGCCTGACGGTGCAAGTGGATCAAGAGTTCCAGAATAAGACAGAAGTGGTTTTTAGTGGGTCGACCAGAACGGTCATCCCCACATATCCTTTGGATTAAATCCAGGCATTTACAGATTTTCCACTTCCAACTGCAAAAAACAAAGATCCAACTCAATTTTCATTGCATGTGTTGCGTCGAATCGTTACCTACCTTCTGCGTTACAAAAATCCTTATATTTATGACGTAATTCTTATAATTTATGACGATTAATAAATTAATCAAAAGTAAAAACTATGTCATTGCTTAGTCCAGTACAATGTTAGCCGTATGTAACATCTCGTTACTATAAATATTGAGACACGACCAAGACTTGTTTTATCTCGTGAGCAGCTCTATCTATAATAGTAAATAGTCATTTAATTTGAATTCTGTTGAATGTTTCTTTCATTTTATTATACCATATAAATACCAACTATCAAATGAATTATGTTACTTAAATTTTGATAATTTTTTACAGGTGGCGGTCTGCTTTGTTTATTTCTTCCAAACACAACACGCGAACCACTTTCCTGACGATGGCGAAATATTTTCTCTCAATTAGTTGTTTATAGTATTTATAAAGTAGACGTTATATTAGAAGCACACAAGATGAAATTTTCTTTAATGCATGGGATGAACTTTATTAGCTAATCTAACTTTATAAACAGAAGTGTTCATCGAATACCGTAAAAGTATTTTTCTTTTACCTCCACTCAAAAATACCGAATAATAAACTTGTCTACATGCAGTATTCTAAATTCATACAAGATTTAAATTAAATTTTTCATTTTCCTAAAGTTTTAAACCGATGTTTTACAGTACAAAATATTTTTGCAAATTTTTGATTGATTTAAATTATTGCAATTGATTTTAAAGTTAGGTTACTTAAGAGAATTCAACCAATACATTGTAAGATTGCTGCCTTAGTTTTCGAAAATATTTTGTTTGTTACAAGAAGTTAATAAGTTTATAGTTTATGATGATGCCGAAAGCCAGATACAACAAGAAAAACAATTTCTTTTAAATGTAGAAACTGTACAAAAGTGTTCAAAAACTGAGGCAATTGTGCTATTTTTGAAAACCCCAATTTTAAAAAAACCCCGCAATTTAGTTAGACGAATTTGTGAGTTTATGAGAGAACACGTGTCATTATTTTTTAGAATAAGCTGTAAATTTATTATATAGAACAGGCAAGTGTCACCTTTCAAAAAATACAGAAATAATGACTTACATAAAAATGTACAACTGCCAATGTAATTCATTAATCATATAATTAATAATTTAGTTCCAAACTTGCGGTAAACTCATATTTTCTATTGACTCACAATTTCGTATTACTAAGATCTTATATTTTTAGTCATTTTCACCTTGTTAATTTTCATTCTCGCGACTGGGGCAAAGGAATCAATTGTCTATGTACGATTTTTTTCCTTAAGCAATTTTTTTATTTTGAATCATATTATTGTTAATGTAAAAAGTGATCAGTATTACGCTTTTTTTGTAATTTAAATGTAAAACCTAAATGAATATTATACCCACAAAGAAATTATAAAATGTAAAAAATGTTTTTTAGTCACTTCTCCAGTTACGCGGACAAATGAAGTTGCATTGTTAATTGATTCCCTTTCCCTACAAATGTTATAAATAACATTGTAATTTTATAAGACTTTCGAAAAAGTCACGTACATTATAGAATATCATCTGAAAAATATGTAAGTCTATCAATCGCAACATAACTTCTGCTCTCCCTATTGGCTGTTTTAAACCACATGTATAATTCGTCGTACACTTTGACTTAGTGATTTTTTTCAATTAAGTGGAACACACAAAGACTTTAATATAAAATTACATATAAATAACTGTATTATATACGTTTTTATTTTTCTAAAGGAAAAATTATTGTATGTATTGCATCGACCAATTAAAACTATTTAAATCCAGAAAAAAAGTAAACCTATAATATAGGAGATGACTATCATTTAACAAAAAAAATTTTTTGCACTTTTCCATAAAATTTTTTTTTTACTAATTTGTACACTTTGAACACAGATTTGATCTAAAAACTACTTTGATAATGAGAATTCAATAATTTGAGGACACAAAAAGTTTTTTAGTTTTTAAACCCTTTTTTCATTTTTCCGGGCCCTGGAATTTAAATATTGATTTCTAAATCCATATCTATTTTCTAATCTAAAGCATTAAAGTGGTTTTAAGATCACATTTGTCTACATATAAAGTTTAAAATAAAAAATTATCGATAGTTGACGTAATTATTTAAGAAAATTTGTGCTTAGTATAAATAGTGTTATTTTTTTACAAAAAATAATGTTATTTACATCAGTTTAAACCTTAAAGTACAAAAATATAAAAATGTCACGAACCTTATGGATTTTATGTTCTCATATTTTACAAATTTGCATTAATTATGTAAAGTCTATTAAAAGTCATTAGCATTAAAGTAAAATCAATAGAACTCTAACTAAAAATTGTTACTAATTTGATCTAAATTACATTCACATAAAAAATAATGTGATTCAATTAAATAATTGTTTTATTTATGCAAAAGCATCAAAAAATGTTTCCTTAAAATATTAGAACCCCTTATTGTCTAATAAAAAAATACCGGAATGAATATTTATTTATTTTGGTATTCTGTAAAGATGATTCTTAACCCAGGAAGTACCCTGTGGTGAAGAAACAATTCCACAGCATTGCTACAGGTGAAAGAGACTACCTGTATTCGCCAGGGGCTCTGTGAAGATGATGACACTCGTGATGCTTTGAATGCTGTAATGATGTGATTTTTAATTGCTGGGAATTCGATCGGCAGATGGAGTCCGGGTACCTACAGTAGTTACTTTTAACTGATAATTATCGGTATTCACGGGGTTAAATCGATTTTAGAAAAAGTTTCCATATTACGCGACGTATCTTCATCCTTTTCTTACTATAATGGAATTTTTTAGTTAGTCCATATGAAACCAGAATTCTTGTCGGATCTAGGTAAATTATCTTTTTTTTTATTCACGGAGAAGAGGGAAATGCTTTTAACTTCATGCCCAGGAAACTCCTATTGCGCTGGGGTATGTTGAGCTCAGCACAAAATGCAAGCAAAAAAAGAAACCTTGAATACCTGTTATAGGCAGTTACCAATACCGACTAAAAATCTTTGCTTGATTCCCCTGGGTTTCGAATCTTCTATCCACCTATGGAACTACCTTTCGGCTTCAGACTTCGCAGATGAATGATCCCATTTAGTCGCTTACGCGACTCTTCCGTGCCGCTCTTGTTCTGACCTTATTTTCTCTTTGTCATTGAAAAACCCTTCTTTGCTTCCTCTATGGCAGTTCTAACGAATTTTCTCCAGCTTATCAGCGTTGTTTTGGCTGATGATGACGATACCGAGTTTTACTCCTCGCTTATTTGGTCCAAGGACCGTCACCTTCCTGTTTCCTGGTAGTACCGTAGAAATTTTTTCCAGGACATCCTGAACGTCTTCCTTTTCTGTATGGGCATCCATTTCACGGATTTCCAGCGTAGTTTGCCGGTTCGGCAAATTTGACAATTTGATGGGGCGATTTCTAGTCCGAGGGAAATTAACTATGGTATTAGTTTATCTAAAGCTTCTTTGAATAAATCCATCGCCTCATTTTTTCCGTGAATCTACAGTAGAGTACAGTATCATCTGCGTATTGTAATATTTTTACATCCGCTGGTAGAAGGTGTTGAATCTTTCTATAAATCTTAATGCACCGCCATCAGTTCCTCCAGTATTCTCGACGCAAGTAGAGCAGCAAATGCTCCCATCAGATCCACGACTAAAACGGTGACACAATCAACAGCAGAGCGATTTCTCCTACATCCATATTGATGGTAGGGTATTAATCTCCTATTTTCTGTAAAATGTTCGAGTCTCCGTGGAACCATTCTCTCCAACAAATTACCCATGTTGGAGGTTAGGGATATCGGTCGATATCTCTTGCCTCCCGGTTTGGGAATAAATTTTATTAACGCATTTTTCCAGGAGTTCGGGTATCTTGCATTAGTGAAACATCTGTTGAATATTGATATAAGGTGATCATATGTCCTACCTTAGGTAGTTTATTAATCGCCTCATATGAAATTTGGTCGATTCCAGGAGCCGATTGTTTATTGCACTGATGCAGTGCATTTCTATACTCCTCTTCCGAAAAAGGGTTGTTGTATGGGTCTGTCTCTTCCTTCTTATTTATCGGTAGTATGTTAGCTGGTGTGGGAGGGATATTAAGGTCAAAAGGTAAAATTGTAAAAGGACAAGTTAAATAAAAACTCAAATAAAAGAATAAATAAATAAATTCCTGATTTAAAAATAATTACAAATGAAACAGAAAAAAATATGGATCGAAATGTGGGACGACCTGCACTTGATTTTGAATTTATGTCTGAACTTTCAAAACGTCGAGAAGTTGCTAAAATTAGCAAAGAGCATAATAATGACGTTCAGAAATTAATGATGATTTCTTCTTATGCAGCGAATAAATCAAAACCGAAAGACCTAAGGCTGGAGTCCCATGGCAGCGTTTTGCGTTGCGTCGTAATGGGAGAGAAAAAGACGCAAATATACGTTTGCTGCATTCTCTCTCATTACAACGCAACGCAGAACGCTGCCATGGGACTGCGGCCTTAAACGTGTTCTTGGTAAACTATTAGTCGATTCAGAATCACCTGCAAAAATTTTAAAGTTAGAATCGTCAGCAAAAGAATCTTCAGTTTTAAAGAAAAAGACTCCGTTAGAAGCCCTTTCTTTTTGTTTAGACCACAGTCTTTCAAAATCAACTTATACCGATTTACGTTTACAATCTAAGGAATCTGGAGCAAATATATGGCCATCATATAATGAAATTCGTGAAGTAAAATCTCAACTTAGGCCCCCAAAAGAATGTATTCAAGTCAATGATACTACAGCTGAGGTTCTTCTCCAAGCTCTTCTAAATCATACTGCTTCAAGAATAGTGAAATGCAAAAAGAAGTTCTATTGCATGTTATTGATAAAAGTCAATGTACTAAATTAAAGCTCAATTTAATTTTCTCTTGGGGATTCGATGGCAGTTCAGGATATTCCACTTACAAACAGCAGTATGATCAAAATATATGTCTCTAATTATAATTGGTATCCTATGCCCTCTTCAGTACACAGGATATACTAATTCATGGTGGAGAAATTATCAAGGAAAGTGTTTTACCTGTAGGAATGCTTTGGGAAGAAGGTTCTGAAAGTAGAAACAAGGATTACAGGACGTATAAACGATTTCATTGTTGAAAAAATAGTCGAAAAAATAATCTCGAAGATTTATTTAATAGAACTATGGATACTTCAGATCCTATAGTATCGACATTAAGTCTTAAATCTCGACTAAATAAGAATAAAAAGTTAACACTTCCTAAAGCTGTACAAGATGAGTTACTTTCAGAACCACAAATTGTTCACAATAATTCCGTAAAGTCTGAATTTGAATCAGATACTGAAGACGAATCATCTGATGAAAACATCGACATTAGTCTTTCTGCAGCACATAATTATTTGGACAATTTAGAACTTTCCGGCGAAGAGTCCAGCGAGGAAACTTAATTTTAAAAAATAGGACTTTTTTATCTTAAAGAGATAAAAAAAGAGACCAAAAAAAATTTTTTTAGTTATAAAAATAAAAAAAATTAAAATAAAAAAGCAAAAAAAAGTTTTTTAACCCTCTGCCTACTCATGTGACCGTTATCGTCTAAAATCGTCTATTTGGACGCCTGGTGGGGACTATGGGAATTACATTCAAAAGCGCTAAAGAGGGGATTAAAAAAAATTTTTTTAAAATTAAAAAAAAATTTAAAAAAATTAAAAATTAAAAAAAATTAAAAAACAAAAAAAATAAAAAAAACAAAGAAAGGAGTCATAAATTTGCCACGTCCACGTTCGTTGACTCCGGGTACGGCAAAGAGCGAATAGTTTGTTAATTAGTTCTTTTTCTAATTAATATTTTATCAGCAATTATCAAATACTTAAATCTGCTTTAAGAAATAAGAATCCTGAATACCAAGTTTTATGTAAATCTATTAATTTTTTAATTTTTATTTCCGCCATATTGGATCCACCATTTTGAATTTTTTAAATCTAACTTTAGATTCGTAATTAGCGATTTCAAAAACCCCTAAATACCAAGTTTTATCAAAATCTATTAATTTTGAAAATTTTATATCCGCCATATTGGATCCGCCATTTTGAATATTTTAAATCTGACTTGAGATTCGTATTCAGCGACCCCAAAAACTTTAAGTAACATAATTTATTGTTGTAAACTTTAGATATTCTAGGAATTATGAATTTTGGCCAACATTTCGGGTTACCTGGCCCACTGTGGAACGTCAGCATACGTTAATCCTTGACCGACTCTGATTAGAACTGCGGATCTTTTTGACCTCATTCTTTCCAATTGAGGAATCTTTGGATCTGGTACTTCCGTTTCCATTGGAGGAGCTTTTTCCTCTTATCGGTTTGGGTTCGAGTCTCCCCAGATAACAATCGTGCGTCGCATTTAAACGCATGTTTCTTGCACTAACTGCGACTTACCAGATGAGTCGGTTCATATACGCATCTTACTATCGTCTGTGACGCTGGTAATAATGCGAGTGTTGTGAACTGCATTTCGTAAGCGCCTGTGATACAAAATGATAAGCATGTTCCGTTCACAAGTGCGACTCGCTAGAAGAGTCAATCCATACGCATTTTACCATCCACAGTGCGAATGCTGTGAATGCGTGTGCAGTGAACTGCACTTAATACCCCTGCTGGAAGTAAATAGATAGAAACCTTTTCTCTTTTAATCCCTTTCTATTGCTAATATAGAAAGAGATATGAATAATGTATAACTTTTAATCTCCTACCTATACTTCTTTATGCCTTTCTATTCCTACCTTTATCAACTTGTTCGCTATTTCTTTTAATCACCTTTTTTGAATAACTTTTAATAGCCATTTTAAACCCTTCTATCTCTTTTTATATACAATCTTATTACAACTTTTTGTTATCCCTTTCAATCACCTTTTCTCTATTACTTTTAAAATCCTGTCTATTTCCTTGTATCTCTTTCAATGTTAGACCTTATAGACACTATTCTTTATACCTATTAATAACCTATTCTCAATACCTTTTAATAACCTGTCTATAAACTTCTATCTCTTTTTATGACAGAAGTTCTCGATACTCTTCTTTCTCCACATTTATAACCTTTTCTT